TTTACCGTGTGTCCTGTCTTTCAGGTACAAATACATACGTGTTTAAGTATAGCTGTGTGTGTGTGTGTGTGTGTGTGTGTGGCATAAAGAAAAAACTGGAAAGGGGTCAGAAGAAAATAAATGTCAGACAAACTGAGAGAAACAAAGCTTTCCTCTGTCTGAACAAACCCCACAACAGGAAGTCCTCTGTGAATGACACCGCCATATTAGGAGCCAGGAAGTGAAGGTGATGGAGTCTCTGTGGTGACAGGGTTCCCAAGACCTGGTCACCATGGCGACAGAGGGTCAAGCCCTGTTTATTGCCGTCTCACGAGGAACACGGGTCAACAGGAACACAACCTGTAAAGAGTGAAGTTTAGAGAGAGGGTATGCTGTTGGTGTGACGCTCCTGTGTGATTCTGATCTCATTTGGAGCCAGAGTCTCTGGAGTATTAATTGGGGGATAGAGCAGTAGTATCAAGTCCCGCCGATACACTAACCCGACCAATCACGAGTCAGTCTCAGCTGTCAATTTTGACAACATCAAACAACTGAAGAAAACCAGACTTACCTGAAAGATTTACACTTGGACATACTCCAGTGTGATAAGAACTACATATTCTTGTTTGATTTGCCGTTTGACTTCTGAGTTTTATGTCCTTGACTTATCCATTAACATGGAGGAGATGGGGTTAATGACATGTAATGCAGCTAGCCACCAGGGGGCAATTGAAATGCAGTGGCTTCACTTTTGGTTGCTGTCATAACTTCCCTCTTTATTTACAGTCTATGGTTGTGACGCTGTGGTGTGGTGTGTTTTTTAGAAGATAAGAGGTTTCTTGCTCTTTACTAGAAGTTCATGCTGCATAAAAACACGACTGTAGTAATCTGTTAATGCTAATGTAAATTCTCCAGCATCATAAATTCTGGTTCAATTAAACAGTTGCCTGAACTGTCAGCTAAACACATGTTATATGACAGCATGCTGTGTTATTATGCAATTACAAATTTTATTACAGAGTTTTGTTCTCCGACAAAACCTGACCAAAACGACGAAGCTGCTCGTCTGACTCCTCGTTGAAAGATTTGCTGAATTGTGTTATTTCTTGTCTTACTATTAAACAGTTTTTGCAGACGCAGTGTTTGTTTACATAGCATGCATGAGGGAAGTCATGTGGGATGGCGAGTGACAATGTGTTCGGGAGGTTCATAATTTTCAAAACTGCTTGTGTGTTAGTCGGCTGCTCAGAAAAATGAGGTTAACAATTTCCCAAAATGTAGGACAATAGGACACAAGCCTCTAACTTAACTAGCTCGCCGCAGCCTGCAGCCATGTCGCAGTAAAACAGCATCGCAATCCGTTTGTTTTGCTTGAAGGTTTTTACTTTGGACTCAAAAATACACTAATAAGCCTAAAACACTCCACTTTGTCTCAGAGTCATGCTTCTGCAGAAATCTGTCCCTGCTGAGCATTTTTTTTTTTTTTTTTGTTCAGTTGAGGGTCAATCAGACAAAGAGATGTTGTAAAATAACCCACAAAGTACTAGATATCCTTATTACTTCCAACAAGGAGGTGATGTTTTCACCCCTGTTCATTGGTTTGTTTGTTAGCAAGATTATGCAAATAGTTCTGTGCAGATTTCCACAAAACATGGTGGAGGAATGAGACATGGGCCAAGAAAGAACCCATTCAATTTTGCAATGGATCTGGACAAAAATATATATATATATTTTTTATACTTTCTTAAGCTATAGGCCAGGCACAAAAACTTTTATGTTCAGCATGGTTTGCATTGATGTGTGCAACCCAGACACGTTTTCAGTGTCTCACATTGTCCCAAATCCTTCGTGTTGGACTCTCAAAATCTGATTCAGGGAAAATAAATAGCCCTAAACTGTGATTTACAATGTTTTTTCTTTGCACAATTTAATAATAAAAATCCTTGGAAGTCATGTTGTTGACTTACTGTCAGAGAAACATGTGACAGCTTCATTTTTTAATGACAACTGCCCCTGAAAACCTGTTTAGCTTCATCAGCATCAAGGGCACAGATGTTTTTTTGAGTCATTCAAGGTCTGCATGTTTTTACCAACCAAATTAACTCTCTGTGTCCTGTGTTTTTTCCTCACACTGCTCAAAGTATGTGTCTTAAACGCAACTAAAGTGAACTGAGATCTGTTTTCTGGATCAGTTGGGGTGTTCATACCACATTTAACCACTTCACCCAATTAGCAGGTGAACCATCCAGACCAACAGTTTCACGCCCTAAACCGCGGGTGCCAACGTCTCTGTGCAGAAGTTGGATGTGTTGAGTCACTGAGAAATTAGAAAAGTGCATTTTGGATTAATAACCGTCTGATGTGCTCTCTGTTAAATTAGCTGCCCCCCCCCCCCCTCTCTGTTCACTGAGTAATGGCTCCTCAGTGTCTTCTTCCTCGAATTGATCTACATTTCCACATCTCTGCTGTCACGTCCTTTGAGATACTGCAGATTTAATAAAAAGTAAGAGTGAAGCAAGCTCACCAAAACCCTACTGGTTGTCTGTATGCAGTCTTTGAGCAGTAAGGTGTTTTGAATAAGTTTCTCATACAATCATATGAACCCACACAGAAATACACCCCCCTCCAAGCTCAAGATTTAATTAAACAAAGGTGAAATGCATAAAAAGCTCTTGTATGGTTTATGTTTTAATTTTTTTCCAGTTAATTCCAGGAAGTGTAAACGGACACTTAAGACATTTTCTTTTACTTGTGTGAGGTTTCAAATGACTACATTAACCTCATGGAGTGGGAGCGACTTCATAAGTGGACATTAAAGTGTCTCTGCCTCTTCCGATCTTTGTCCCTTTAGAGGAAGGCTTGTGTGGCAGCCAAATGGCAATCGATGTATTTAAGTGACTAAGTGACAGTTCGACAGCGAGACGACGATCAAGTTCTGATTTAATTATGCGACTTTCAGCTGACTTCACTTAGCAGAGAGAAAGTCTGCCTCCTCCTCCTCTTCCTCCTCTTCCTCCTCTCAGCAGCTCAGTCAGGTCACGGCTCTGTGTGCACGTCTGTGTCTGCAGGGGCGTAGTCTGTTGTTGTTTTGTTGATATGGAAATGAATGGGTGTGTGGTGACTAATTGTTGACTGATTTCATTATGATTGATATTATCGTGTGACACAGTGTGTGATCGCACAGAAACTTTGATTCTTTTCATTGTGAGCGATTTAATTGTGAGTTAAAATTCAATGGGTAAGACCAATGTGCATGTGTGTCCATGTTTATAATGTTTTCATTTTAAAATACTCTGTAGAACAGGTTCATTTTAGTATTTGTTTTGGTGGTTGTGAATACGGTTAAACATTTAAAGTCCAAATTTCAATGATATTTTGACATCGTAAAATCAAATTATGTCAAAATAAGTCACTTTTTTCTCAGTATTTCATCGTTGCTTCTCTCATTTATCTTCTCGCATCATGTGAATCCTCTTTTTTTTCTCTCAAGGCCAAATAACACATAAAAATCATATTAGTTGGTTTGTTAGTTATGAGATAAGATGAATAAGATTACGCATATTATTTTCAGAATGCTCTTCCAAAATTTGTCTTGCTTCCCAAGATAGACACGGTTTTACATAAATGAAAACAAAAAACATAGAAGTTATTGTAAACTTTTTGTAAAACAGATATTGAGATGAGAATCTAGCAAATTAACGTTGAATGTTCCTGTGCGTATAAATATTTATTAAAATACTGTGTCCCTTGTCCTAATTGACACTTTTATGAGGAGTTGTTGATGGAGTGTGTGTGATGGGTTTACAAGATGTTATCTGATATAATTTGAAGGTATTGAAAGCATGTGTTGTGTACAGTGTGTGTTTCCATTATGTGTCTGCATACTGTGTGTGTGTGTGTCTGTTTACTTATCAGTTATTTCCCTTGACCTTGAAGTCTAATCTGAGACCCTGTCATGCAGCGTGTGTTTGCAGTCCTCAGCTGCAGCAGTGGAAAGGTCAGGAACAAAAATAATTAGACATGGGTTCAGTAACGAGGACACATGAAATGTATTTCTTCCTCCTCCTCCATCAACCAGCATCAAGTTTATTAATGCACCAGTTGAGCTTTTCGACACAAGCAGACGGGTAATCACAATATTCCTGGACGACAGCTTGTCTCTGTGTCCGTTACTCACAAAAGTCTGAGAAACTCGATCACTCTTCTGCTCATTTTCTCTGCATCGACACGCACACGGGAGTCAATGGAGCCGCCCTTTGTGGGATAATCCAGGGTGAACATTCACACACATGCTCTCAATAGACCCCGGCTAAATCCTCGTGTTGTGAACGGTTGCCGTGGCTTTCTTCCGTTCTCTCTTTGTGTGGGTTTAAACTGAGCCGCAGGTCAACTCTTAGGTAACTGAGGTGACAACACAAACACACTTTGATGTGTACCTCACCTGTGACTACAGCAACACTCGTACCACGTGTAGCTCTCAAATAGAAATGTTGTTGTTTTACCATATTATGATTTACAATCTGTTCTTATTATTAGCTGAACTGAAATGACTGAGAAAATCAAAATGCAAGCATGCCAGTTTTTATAATGAAGTGCAAAGTTCCTGTATGTTGGGAGATTATGGCTCTTATATTCAGTGATACTGAGCCTGAGGGGATAATAAAGTATCTTATCCTATAAATACAAATCAACTTCACTGCATTTTTTTTTCAAATTTGTGTTGCGAAATAGTTTTCATGATGTGTAAATCCAATCCTTATATGCTTTTCTGTCTGTAAAGTCCAATTGAAAATTTTAATCTAAAAACAATCAGGAAAAAATTGTCCACTCTTACTCCTTCAATTAGGAAGTTACTTGCTCCCCCTGGTGGAATATAGAGAAATCTAGTGCTCAAACCTCAGTTGTTTACAGGTTATCTTTTAAAATCTCTCTTAAAATCATAGAAACAACTCAACTATACATATCTCTTCACCCTTCACAGTCTTCATACTCTTGTCCGTCCTCCGTCTCTGTGTCTCCAGGTCTTCCAGAGCAGTACTACAGCCTGACGTGGTTCCTCAGTCCCGTCCTTGGCCTCATGTTCACCCCTCTGATCGGCTCGGCCAGCGACCGCTGCACTCTGCGATGGGGCAGGAGGAGACCGTTCATCCTGGCTCTCTGTATCGGCACGCTGATCGGAGTGGCTCTGTTTCTGAATGGATCGCTGATAGGTGAGTGTGTGTCAGTGTGTACTTAAAAGAACAGTGTTTATGTCACAAACGTCTCTCTCACTCTTTCGCCTGGTAATTGTCACCTTTTCTCTCTTACATGATGCCCCGGACAGTGTTAATCTCACTGTTTAATACAAAACAATAGAATTGTATTTATCGCAAAGGCAATTTGGTTTCGTTGAAAGAAGACCAAAAAATTCAAGATATAGACATCCACTGACAAACATCCATTAAAACAATAACAGAATAAAACACCATAAAAGAGCTAAATATTATAATAAGCTGTGCTAATAATCACAGTTTGCATGAGTCTATATATAATAATACATTGTTAGGCTATGATTGTTTTGATTCATAATTGTCTATATATCTTACACACATCACAATTTCAATAGTCTTTGTAAACTTGTGACTCAACCCATAATCACCCCATTCATTAATTCATTCATACAGTTTAACATTTCTGTGGTGAATTTTTAATCAATGATTACTCTAACAGTTATTTCCCTTTAATTAATTCACCACTTTTGTCTATACAAGATCTGAAAACCATTCATAATGTCACGAAGCCTCACATTTCAGAAGCTAGAGCTCATAAGTATTTATAACATTTGCTTGAAAAATGACAGAATTTATCATTTTGATTTTCTAAACCACTAAAGATTGCAGCCACAGTTTACAACTCAAACAAGAGCAGTTGATTTACATAAAGATATCAAACAGAAACCCACAATTCTGATTCCACTTATGTTGTTGTTGAATATTGGTCTGAAATTACATGATTTCACTTTGTGCCATCTGCCGAACGCTGTAATCTAAACCACTGGAGAGTTTGATGAACCCGGAGGGAAACGCTGTCGCTTCACTCAGCATGTGCTCAGCCCACAGAGGAAATAAAGCATCAGTTGTGAAAAGCTTCGCTGATTTGATGCAATGATGTCATCCTCGGTTATTACGTCACTCAAATGTCATTACAAGGTCATCTCCATCCAATCCAATCAAACCAATTGATTAGCTCTCAGTCAAACCACAAAGATATTGATCTTGGGCCAGAGTTATCAACGCAGCTCCGGTTGTAATTCGCCATTTGTTGTTGTAGTACACGTGTGAACATACACACACGCATGAAAGTAGACAGTGGTGTGAATGTTGTGAATAATGTTGAAGTTAAGGCATCAAATACTCTGTTCTTTCTTCAGTCCCTTTTCTTTTTCATTCCTGAACCTTGTTACTACAGCTCAGGAAGTAGAGTTGTTCTCTATTGTATGAATTGTAATCACAAGTGGGAGGCGTCTGTGTGTTAGTCAGCAGGATTACGCAAAAACTGTGACATGCATTTCCACAAAACCCGGTGGAAGGATAGAGTTTGGGTCAGGAAATAATCCATAAAATTTTTGTGTGGATGCAGGAACTTTTTTTTTCACTTCAGTTGATGAAAACATTCAGACATTTTTAGGAGACACATATTTATGAGTGTGTGAAAATTGGTACAGTTATTATAGTGAATTTACACATGGTTTCATAAGGGGGCTGTTGGACTTTGGCAGAGGTATTCGCTTTACTGGGTCACTTTCTAGTTTGTAGTCTTTAGCCCCTTACAGAAGCTGTAGGTGGGGTTGTCTTCAGCCGTCTCTTCTCCTTTCACTCCTAAATTCTGTCCTATCAATAAGTTCCTAGTGCCCAAACATCTCTCTTAAAGAGAGTATCTCAAAATTCATTCGTCTCTGCTGATTTTAGCCTTTGCCCACATGTACAGGCTCCATATTCAAATATGATCCACGTGCACAACAACAGCAGACTGAGTAGAATAGAACAAAGTGAAGTGGAATATCAGAGAAGTTATAAATAACAAGAACAAAAGTGTGAACTGTTTTCTTTCAGCAGATTCCATTCAGCTCCATTCAGTTCTGTTCTGATCTGCCTCCTTTCTTCTGCCCAGAGGTTGGCACTCGTGCTAGGGCACCAGGGAGTCTGTGTGTGTGTGTGTGTGTCTGTGTGTGTCTGTGTGTGTGTTTGAGAGAGAGGGGGTGACCTGTGACCTGCACCTGCACCATGAGAGAAATTGGAGAATAAAAGAGGCAAAATGTACATTTCCATGGTTTATTTATATATGTATGAATGTGTGTGAACAACACGGTGCTACATGAGAAAACTGTTGTAACCTGTGTGTGTGTGTGTTTGTGTGTTGATATGGGAACACAAGAGCAGGCAGTTCACAGGGAAATGCTTCCTGTTTGCTTCCCCCTCTCCCACCAATCACAATTCACTTCCTGTCTGTCTGCCTGGCTAGTGTGTAGTATGACTCCTCCATTGTCCCATACACACACGCACACACACACAGTACACACTTTGTCTTCTATGAATGTTTTTGTCCCTAATGTTAATGGATTTGAGTTTGTGATGTCATGCTGCGTCACACTGCCTCTAATATTTCTCTCCCTCAGAAACACACACACACACACACACACACACACACACGAGCACTGTCCCTTGTCTCTTCTCTATTCTCATACATTCACACATCATCTCTCTCAGACGCACAGACACAGAGCAGCTCGAGGCTCAGACCGGGTCACTGATGTAAAGACACACACAAGGTCACACACATCATTCAAAGCAGTATGACAAATGCGCAGTGATCCGCGTGTGTGCGTGTGTGCGTGCGTGCGTGCGTGCGTGTGTGTGTGTGCGTGCGTGCGTGCGTGCATGTTGATATGGGACAGCAGCTGTAACAAATCAGCTATTGATCATGTGCTGACAAGAGTTGCATCAGCATTACAAAACAGGAAAACGTATTAAATAATGTTATTGGTGTTGTAATTGCCATTCATTAAATGTCCTTTCTTTTATATTCATTAATTTTTTATATATATGTAAAGGCCCTTGAAGTTAAACACTCACCATTTAATTCATACACAGTATATCTGCGACATCTGTCTCCTCCCCATTCACTCTGAACCACCACTGACACTTAAAGGCTGTTATTCTAAGACTCATACTGTTGTTTTATTTTGTCCTTTAAATCATATTTATAGTTTGATTTGTTCTTGTGTGATCTGGTTTCTGAACAAGTGAACTGCTCCGTCGGTAAAGAATAAAAGCAGTACATTGCGTTGAGCTGACGTCCTTGGATCTTGTCTCCACATTAAAAACACATTTGAATATTTGCCATCTTTCTCCATCAGGTCTGTCACTGGGTGACGAGCAGGGGAAACAACCGATCGGCATTGTTCTCACTGTGCTGGGAGTTGTGGTGTTGGACTTTTGTGCGGATGCCACGGAGGGACCAATCCGAGCGTATTTGCTAGATGTGGCAGACACAGAGGAACAAGACATGGCGCTCAACATCCACGCTGCCTCAGCTGGTATGGGCAGATGTCCGACACACACAAGAATTCACTCAGTCGGATTGAAACGAGAAACACACTAAAGAATATGAGAATGGATTTTTTTATGCTCATGTAGCCACTATCTGTCTCTGAACCTCTTCCTGTGACCACATGTACAGGTCTTGGCGGTGCAGTCGGCTACGCTCTCGGAGGTTTAGACTGGACGCACACCTTCCTCGGAGCAATCTTCAAGTCTCAAGAGCAGATCCTGTTCTTCTTTGCTGCCATCCTCTTCTCTGTCTCTGTGGTGTTGCATCTCTTCAGTATTGAGGAGCAGCAGTACTCTCCTCAACACGACAGGCTGGATCAGGTACTTTCAAATTTCTATTTTAAAATTCAAAATAAGCAAGACCTCGGTTTTCCGTTACCTCTCAGAACACACTCCTCTCACTGTTTTCTCACCAGGAGAGCCCAGATCCCACCAACCAGCAACTTTCGGCCAATGGCAGGGCAGGACACCTCGCTCCCAAGTTGGAAATGATTGGAGAGGATGAAACGATGGACAGCTACGACCTCTACGACCCCTATGAAGATGACATGTCAGATCGGGGAGATATGGACATGGACTTTTTAGAGGTGGAGCTTGTAAGAAGTAAGTAAAGACGGGGATATCCGGTCCTGTGTTTTCAAGGTTTCTTTCCTCATGATGTCAAGCATCTTTTAAAACAGTGGCTCATTTGAGGTAAATTCCTTTTGAGGCCACTTTGATTCATTTAAAGAAGTTGAAACAAAGACAAAATCCTCTCATCTAAACTGAGTCCTCTCCTTCTCTATCTTCAGGTAAAAGTGACAGCGTTCTCGCCATGGCTGACAGCACTCTCGACCACCTGGACCATGATGCATTGTTCTTGTGCCACATAGAGCCGTCCATCTTCACCGACCGCCTCTCGCCCTATCACGGCTCGCCACCTACAACCTCCTCCTTCTTCAACCCCAATCACAGCACTCCCCCTCTGCGGTTTACCAACATCAGACGCAGCAGCAGCGCAGGAAGCCAGGACCTGCTCCGACCCCACAACAACAACCAACAAACAAACACTCTCAGCCCCAGGATTTCCCGCCTCTCTGCTTTCTTACAAGAAATGGAGAACGACGACGGACAGGAGGCGCTGCTCAACAACCAGCTCAATGAGCAGCGGACGCTAAACGGGCGGCTGTTAGCAAGTGTAACTAATGCTGATAGACTTAACACCAACAGCCTGAGCTCTAAAGGGCAGGCCCACCGCGCTGGAATGGTCAAAGGTTCGTATCTTAATGAAATCTTATTTTAAAAAATATTTTAAATTGTGAATTGTATAATTCATAATCCGTCTCTCATTTCAGCTGCCAGTACCGGAGCTCCCATGAGGCAATCGCGTCACCGCCATACCTTCTACCGCCAGCCCTCCTGCACCTTCTCCTACTACGGCCGGGTAGGGAACCACCGTTACCGCTACCGCCGCGCCAACGCCGCTCTTCTCATCAAGCCGTCTCGCAGCATGAACGACCTGTACGAGGTGGAGGCCAGACACAGGAGGAGGAGCAGACAGAGGAACAGACACAGAAGCGGAAATACCAACTCCTCCAGTGGAGACACAGAGAGCGAAGAGGGCGAGGTGAGGAGCGGACAGATGGATTTAGTCGAATGATAGACTGTGACACTATTGATAAGCTGCTACTCCTGATGTACTGGTAGGAAAGCAGTGCAGTTTTGGAAGTATTTTGTGTAGTAATTCTCCCCTCCTTTCCCCCTTCAGGTTGAGACCACTGTGCGACTGCTGTGGCTCTCCATGCTGAAGATGCCCCCGGAGCTGCTGCGACTCTGCGCCTGTCACCTGCTCACCTGGTTCTCCATCATCGCCGAGGCCGTCTTCTTCACCGACTTCATGGGCCAAGTCATCTACCATGGAGATCCCACCGTAAGACCACGAGCAGCTAAACACACAGGCGGGAATAGATAATATGCATATATGAGTTCCGAAGATTACACTAACCATATAATCAATAGTTGGATGAATGGAAAGTGTTTGAAAGCTGGTTAGAAACCATATCATTTCATCATAATGAACATCTTATAATCCAAAAGGAATCTGTTAACATGTTGGTGTCTAAAAGAAGATGCAGTTAACTACTTTAGAATAGTTTTCGGAAATTCATAAAAAAAAGGTCAATTTTACAATCGTAGGTGGAGTTCTATCTCTTCCCTTTGTGTCTGCTGAGAAAAATCGGAAATGATATGATGACATTTTGATGACCTTCCCTGTTTTTCTCTCTCAGGCTCCTGCCAACTCTACTTTGCTGGAAAACTATCACAAAGGAGTTCAGATGGGATGTTGGGGACTCGTTATATACGCCATGACTGCTGCCACATGCTCAGGTAACAACACAACTGTGACATCATGTGGTCAACTGTCTTCACTTGCCCTGGAAGAATAACACATCTGGACTAAACTGTCAACTCATCCTTCTCTTCCAGCTCTCCTTCAGAAATACCTTGACAACTTTGACCTGAGCATTAAGATCATCTACATCCTGGGGACACTAGGATTCTCCATAGGTAAGAACCACAGTACTTTGATAGATACTTTATACACGTGAGCAGCTAATAAGTAGCTTTGGGATTGATCAGTTTTTTCTTTCTCTTCACAGGAACTGCTATCATGGCAATCTTCCCTAATGTGTATGTCGCCATGGTGATGATCAGTACCATGGGCATCATCTCCATGAGTATCTCCTACTGTCCATACGCTCTGTTAGGACAGTATCACGAAATGAAAGAGGTACGGATGAAGGATAGATTGATAGCTGGCGTTGTAAATAAGTTCTAAATCTAAAGTTAGTATTGAAGTATTGTCTTAACATGTTCCGTCTTTATCCCAAACACAACCATTGGCCTTTTTTGCCATCCTGCTCCTGTACATAATTACCAATGACCCATATTATTATTTCTTAACCCCCTGCTGAAAAATGATCTGTTCCTGTTGGACCCTTCTGTGATTCTGTATTTCAAATATTTTTAACTCATATTAAAGTGTCATTCACGAGGTTTATCTTCCTCTGTCTCCTGCAGTACATCCAGCACAGTCCTGGTAACTCCCGGAGAGGCTTTGGCATTGACTGTGCTATCTTATCGTGCCAGGTGTGTCTTCATAAAATCTATCGATATGCATGTTTTCCACACTGCACTCTGTGTGTTTGCTAAAAAGTTTGTCGTTTGATCCTAATGTGATTTTCGCAGGTGTACATCAGTCAGATCATGGTGGCCTCTGGTCTCGGTGCTGTGGTGGAAGCTGTTGGCAGCGTCCGTGTTATTCCCCTGGTGGCCTCTGGGGGCTCCCTCCTTGGATTCTTCACTGCTTGCTTTTTGGTTATTTACCCATCACCTAACAATGGGTGAGGAAAAAAAACACTTATTTATTATTTAGAAATAAGCTGCTACTTGTTTCCTAAAATGTTGAACTATTCCTTTAACTCCTTGATTTTAACTGTGATCCTCAGGGAGGGGGAATCGGCCAAAGCTTCAGAGAAACGGGCCTTGACGACGCTGGAAAATCGCAACAGCAGCAACGCGGCCGTAGCCGTGGTGATAGAGAAACCCAGCTTCCTGAAACTCAATAAGGAGGGGAAGGCCACGACCACCACCACTTCCTGTCACACGGAAAACGAGTCTGCCCTGTGATTGGCTGGCTTAAGTGACAGAGACTTTGCTGCAGACACAACAAAATTTTATTTTAATCATCAATGCTGTTGGAAACGCCCAAAGGATTTACCCTCCATCCTCGCTGTGCTGGAGTTTACAGACATATGGAAGAGAAGGGGGGGTAGAAAACCACTCAACCTGGTGTGGGACCAGCGTAATACCAGACCAACTTACCCAATTAAAAAAAAAAATCATTCTGGTCCCAGTGCTGTTTAGCCGTCTCAGAAATTCCATTCACTCAAACCTCACACCGCCCAGAAGTGAGTAATTCACTGGTCATGGTTTTAAAGCAACACTATGTCACTTTTACTGAGCATCAGCGCCCTCTGCAGCCACAAGTGGTGAATACATCTGGAAAGCAGACAAAAATGGCTTAATCCCACTTGCTGAGCTAAAACATGGCAGAAAGGTGTTTATTCCTCACGACTCTCGTCTTCCCCAACAAGACGTGCTGTCACTGTTACAAGCTCCAAAGTGTTTCTGGAAAGTTTTCTGGTTGAATATTGGACATTGATCAGAGATTTAATTAGACTTGCTTCCAGTTTAAATTCAATTTAAACTGCGAGATTGAGATTGTAAAAACCAAAGTCACATACAGTGACAGGAGGCGTTCAGGATGCCGAGTGAGAATGAAAGAGGCAGCATTGACCCTTTTTCACAAATCAGAGTTCCGTCTAAATTTTTCTGAAGTCGTATCGTAATGTGAAGTAGTTGCATAGTGTTGCTTTTAGGAGAGGTCTTCTCTGTCTCTCAGGGCCTCTAGGAGTTGCTACTGAGCAGCCGCCTGGACAGGAAACTTCAGGGGATTCACATTCATACTCACTCTCACATGCACATACACACCTCTTCATCTGAATCAGATGAACACCTGAATAATGAACGCTGTTGATGAACATTAGTCTTCGAAGCTGCAATCATTTAAAGAAATATTGTTCTTCCTCGCTGTGGAATCGGATCGATGGAATCTTTGCTTTCTGATGTGGATCGACAAGAGACTGTGTGCGTGCTGACTTGGCGTCACCAAAATGAACACACTCGGTTTTGCGGGACCTTCACAGCGCTCAGCGACAGTAGCTTTAAGACTCTGGAGACTTTTGGAAGTGGCATTTCTGAAACTAAGAGCCCGAAGCCTGTTTCACCCGGGAAATTATTGATCTGGAGCCTCCACTTTGAATGCCTGATCTGTTTTTGCCCTCCGTCACATGGCAGAGGGGCTTACATCTTAAATTCAGCTTTCACTCTGGGGCAAAGGTGACAATATTTGCATGGCTCTGTGTTAAGTTGCCTGTTAATACTGAGAGTTAGGAACAAAAATAAAAGAGTGCCGATGTATATTGAGTGAAATTCCAGGAAAGAAAGAGCAAAGATGCAATTTGTGCAGCAAACAGGGGCATTACAATCCAAAAATTCTATTTTCATGATTTTTTGAGGACTCAGAGAAAATAACAATGATGCTTCTGTTAATTTTGGATAATCAGACTAACCTACATGCTGCATGTTAGAGGAGCGGAGGAGAGACCAACCAAACAGCACAGGAGAAGAGTTTCTCTCTCCTTTTACTTTGCTTAATTCTTTTTAGAAAATGCTCTTAACACAATGTTTGTCAAGAAGTGCACATTAGCTGAGCCATTGTCGATAAAAGTGTTGCAGTGTTTAGTTAGAGAGCGTTTGGTTGCAATCCTCTCTGAGATCTTTTTGGGGGTTGGATTTGTTTGTTTCCTGACGCTCCTCTGTTCCAGTGGATCCAGTGACTCAACCAGTAATGACCAGTGTTTGCAATGGGACACAAGCATATTAGAACTGATCCTGGTTCTTTCAAAGAATACAAATAATCATCAGGTTTCTGGGGCCCATGTGATGTAAGAGAGAGAGGATGGAGGATTGTGGTTCTGCTATAGGATCCTTGGTTTCATTTTAACAGGCCAGATATTAGTTCAGTTCAAGCTACATTCAGCGGCTGGTTCATTTGGCTGGCTCTGTCCAATGATCATTAAGTCTGACTACCAACACTTTGTGTTTTTGTGCATGTTGAATAAACTAAAGATTTAATTGAATGTTAATCAATAAGCTTTTGAGGTGCTGGTAGGCAAGTTTTTTTTTGTCTCTGGACAGAGCCAGGCTAACAGTTTCCCCCTGTTTCCAGTCTTAATGCTCAGCTAAGCTATCAGACTGCTGGTTTTAGCTTCATATTTATTATAGACACTTTTAATGTTCAAACTTTAGAAAAATGAAAATCATCTCAATTGTCTTAACTTTGCGTTGATTCAGAATAAGCCAGTGAGGCAGATTTCCCTTTTTTTAATTGACCCTGAAGACCCAATCATTTAGCAAAATGAAAAACTTCACTTTATGGAAAAATCTAAATTTCCCTCCATAAAAACACAAAATTTACCCTGAATGAAAAACATTTATTTCCTGAACCAAACAGTTAAATTCACTGAAGATGGTTCTGATCCATTTTGCATTAAGCAGTATTAGAGGCAATTGAAGGGGAAACAATTCTAAGAGTTCCAGAATAAAGTTGTAATATTGTGAAAATAAGGCGTAATTCCAAGATGATTGAGTCAATATGAGAAAAGATTTAATTTTACAAGAATAAAGTCGTAATATTACAATTTTACAAAAATATGAAAATATTACACAAAACAAGTTTTACAAAAACAATGCCCCAAAAAAGTAATCTATGAACTTACTCTGGTAATATCACAACTTTATTCTCAAAACCTTTTTTTCTTCATTGCGTCCCTAATTCAAAAAGAGTAAATCGTCTGCATGTGCTGTTTAATGAGGGCAATCAGAGATGTGATGATGGATGAGGAAGTAAAACTGCTGAGTTGAGTTTAACTTCAACCTTGTTAACATCAGTGCAGAGCGGTGAAACTGATTCGAGGGGATACATGATGCAATAATCTCTTAATTGTACTTATTATTGTTGAGTGTAAACCCTTGAGGTTAAATGACCTTTGTCTTTGGAATGTTTCATTCGCTGACGATGCTGGACGGGTAAAAGTAAGCTTGACATTCGGAGGGGAAAAGAAGATTTTATTTGTTTTCTGACAAATCAGGTGGTTTGTCGCAATATCGGCCGTAGTTAATCAGCCGGGTGTTGGACAGCGTGTTTTTTTGCGGACAGAGCAGGGTTGTTTGTTGCAGGGGTTTTTCCTGCATCTGTCAGGGTGAAAGGCCGTGGATCTGGGTCAGTTTTCCTTTCAGCTCAATCAGCTGAAACATGCAAATCAAAGGAATCGAGATGTAAATTGCTGTGGGTTCATTTAACAATGAAAGCATATTTTATTTGAGTGTGTATACCAGATTTTAGTGCAGATGTTTTGGGGTTTTAGGAGAGAATTTATTGATTGTTGTTATTTTTTTCTGGGTGGATGCTGTTACAGAGTTTTTACAACAAACTAGATTCCTTCCATAATTTCAGGTACATTCAGTCAGTCCCAGAGCAGAGCAGAGTGGAGAGGAGAAGGAATATATTTGCTTCCCAGGTCGACACTGCTCTTGCTGTAGTTCTGGGACGATGTCAAAGAGGAGGAGGTGCAGGTGCTGTGGGTTTTTCACAGCTTCTGGAACCACTACGGCAATAAAACATTCTGTATTAAAACAAAACAAACAAAAAAAGGACACACAGCTTCAGTTTGTGGACAAACATGAAGATAAAAAAACAGACTTTGGGTTTTGGAGGTTTGCATGCAACAACAGCGACAGTGCATGTGTGGAACACCAAAGTACGACTCTGTACAACTCACTCGATCTCTTTACTTGTTGTCCTCATAGGTCAGGGATGTATTTTCCAATGCATGGCTGGATGTTTGTGTCTTTTTTTGGACTTAAATGTGTTTCAAAAAAAAAAAAAAGACCAACATGTACTCTTTTAGCTGAAGCATTGTGCTTGGTGTGGGTCAGTACACTTTTAACAAGCATGTGTTTTTTTACAGTTTTGCACATTTATGAGTGAAGTTTCAGACGAGACGTGTGTGACGCTCCTTGTTAAAAGTGTCAGCGAGAAACTCCAAGCCGTGAATACTTGAAGTGCAACTTGAGCGTTTCAGTTCCAATGCAGTGGAAAGTTGATTTTTCCTTTTTTCTTTTTTTCCTTGGAGGGGGTGTTACTCTTAATATCCCAAGCCTTCTTACTGTTGACTCTGGAATGTTCAGGCAGCGCGGCTGCCGCTCGGCCTGCTGGGAGATTGAGTTCTTACCTTTTGATTCCATCTGGTGACTTAAATTTTTCTCTTTATTTTTGAAAAAAAGTCAGTGAATGTGAGTTGATTTCAGCGGAAATCCTTTTTTAGTTTTGATGTTTGACGAGCGGAGGGGGTCTGACGTTGCACAGAACTTGCACATAAGTTAAAAACAAAACAAAAACAGTAGAATTGTGTTGTATAAGAAAGAAAAAAAAATAACTGTACATATTTATTTTTAAGTTTTCCTATCTATAAAGGACACTTTCCATTATAGTTTCCAAAAGAGTAAATTAAAACTTATTCTATTTAGTGTTACAGGAGAGGGTTCAGAAGTGGACGGAGAAATGTGTATTTGTTTGCACGTGTGAGCGGTCGTGTCACCGCTGCTCACGCAAAGAAAAAAGCAAGGATGTGTGTAAAAATGTCATCTCGGTGTTTGTACTTTGGTTCTTGTTCTCTGTTTTTTGCAATCACCTGGTTTACACTTAACTCTGGAATCAAAGGCTGCAATACCGGAGCTTACTTATGAGTCTGTTCGTCTCTGTTCTGGTGTTTTAACTCAACTAGAAAACGTGTTTTTTGTTTTTGTATCTGTTCTTTAAACTTTAGGCAGGGTCTCACACACACACACACACACACACACACACACACACACACACAAACAAAAGAGTTTGGCCTTTGCACTTTTTTCAGTGGCAGCCATGTTGGCTCCACCGTCCTGATCACTGAACGAATGTGACGCTGTTTTCTTATTTCCAGCCAGCAGCTGTCGGTGGCAGCAGCACAGCGGCCACGCAGTCAGTCCGACCTGGTCGAACTGTGTGTGTGTGTGTGTGTGTGTGGGTGGGTGGCTCTGCCTCCAGTGAACTGTGTTAACAATGGAGAAATGCCTAAATATTTCGGATCTTCACAGAGATTAAATCAAGAAAAATACTTAAAGAATGGGAAAGCAAGTATGCGCAGTGTACTATATATATAATATGCCTTGTTATTTGAAAAAAAATGATGTAAATATACATATTTCTCTTTTAGTTTCTTCTTTTTTGCTGCTATGAAAAAGATGATTATTTTTGTTAGTAGTTTTGTTTTCTATATAAAGACTGTGTATATATATATATATATATATATACATATATATATATCTCTGTGTTCTGTAAATATGCTTGAGCCTTCATATGTAGGACTCTGGATGAACACTGTATGAAACTCACCTCTTAAATCTGTTCAGAAGTTAAAAAAGAACGACTCATTTCATTATTGAACCTTTTTCAATCTCATCATCAGGAAAATAAAAAATGAAAGCACAACGGCAACACACCACAAAAGAAAACAAGACTAAAGAAGAAATAGAAACTTCTTGCTTTTGTTATTGAATCATTTCATGTGGTAAAAGTGAGGACAGCGTTTTATGTCTGCATCATCAGACTGTTCTCAGCTGGAGAACAAATCACTACTACAGTGTGTGTAGGAAATTCATATCATGATAATGACCTTCACATATATTTCTATACATTAATTCTCTGTTTGGTTTAGTTCAGACAGATTGAATATGTTACCAGAAAAGCAATTTTAGAATGTGCACTACATTATTTACATTAATTATCTGGGTATCACCAGACAAGATTTATGGTCGAAACTGGGTCAAACATTTAACTATTTAGAAACAACATGCATATAATGTAATATCTAAAGATTCATGAATTCAGAAGGTTAGAAATTGTTGAAGATTTGTTTTCAACCTTACTACAACATAAAGTAAGTGCTAATAACTTCCCCTAAAAGTATTAATGAATTTGAATTCATATATGTAATGGGGAATGCCTGCAAAAACATTTCAGTTTGCCTTTCTTAAGAAAAAGCAGCATTTAGAAAGAACTCAACAGAAGAAATGGAAATGAACAGTCAGCTGTGAGTGGATCAGCACTTCAGAGGTTAACAACACGTCTCCATGTCTGTGGTGACAGAACCTGCTGCTCTGCACTTTCAGGACCTGTTTTCTCCGTTTTCTCAAGTCGAAACCTCCTAAGTCAGCATCCTGAGAGCAGACGACCGACTTCCCATGCTGCTGTGTGGCCAGACCGTGGAGAGAAGAGATGGTGATTGAGAAAAAACAGGTTCCTGCCGAATCAGATTCCTGTCTCACACAGATTCACAGCCCCGCTCTCTGTCCATACATAGAAACTAGAGGAGGAAACACAGGCCTTACAGGCCCATAGCATTACGCCAAATGAACTGTAATGACCTGTTAGCACTCTGGGGGGATTAAAGGGAGATGCCACTCAATTTAATGACTCGACGCCTGCTGCCAGTGACACTTCACTTAAAATTAATTAACCTGAACAGCTCTTATCTGGTTTATCACCAGTAAAACTAAACCATGTCCATAATGAGACATTCTAATATATTCACTGCATTTTAGATTATTAGCTCCATCAAAGGAGGTTGTGTTCCCATCCTTTGTCCTTTTGTGTGTCTGTGAGCAGCATTTAAGAAAAACTGCAAAACAGATTTCGACGATACTTGGTAGAAGGATGGAACAGGGAACAAAAAAGAGCCCATTACATTTTGGTGTGGATATGAACAAATGGACAGATCCAGCCTTAATTGTGAGGTAGGACATATTTTGATAATTTTCAAGAGGATAATTCATTCTGGATGAAAAAAATCAGGCATATTTAGAGGACTGAGGGGGGGGAAGCAAGACTTTAAGAGGACTAGAGGACTGGAGATATGAGCTCCACCAGTTAAAGCTTTACTTTTACTTTAAATTGTATTTTAGATTCAATTTTGAGACGATAGCTGAAACTGTGAAGTGATAAATGTTATGATTTCTCGTTAAATGGTGAGATTATCGTGTGGTTTGTTCATTACAGCTGCTCCTGCTGCTGTGGTGAAACACTGACCTCTGCTGGAGTGAATCCAACTCACTCTGATGATTGAGTGATTTTATTCAGAGATTGATGCACATTTCAGTTGATTGATCCAATGATGAAGAGAAAAGAAAAGATTTGTCTGTACAGAGGTTTTAGACACAACTGGGTTTTTATATATAAAAACATAAACTCAAAGAAAAACAACAAATTGAAGAAACGATTAAGAAGCTAAACAAGCAATATTCTCTTTAGCTTGCCATAATAAAACATTTGACTCTGTAGAAAGCAGTTTACGTGCGTCCTGTTGACAGATTGTTCCTGATGACCACATGTTTTAGGAGCCACATCATTGTTTTCACTGATGTGTCAGAAAAATGTGTTGAGTCTCACCCTGCTGTCTTTTCTGTCTGACGCTGACGCCAGTCCTCCACTTAGACATGAGTGTATAAACAGAGGTATTAAAGAGGGCTGCACGACTGGAGAGACTGTGTCAAGTGTTTATATGTCTGAAGAGAGCTTTGCTTCAAGTTTGTTCCTCTCTCTGACTTTATGCCATTCTATATTTGAACCTTGACGTCATCGCTCATCTCCCAAATGATTCTTATGGTTTTAACACTTTTATTTCATAAAGAGAAAAAAATAATGTATAAAATGTGACAAAACCTGGGAGCTACTAAACTTCTGCAGTCTCCTCAGTTGTTGCTATAACCAGGGGCGTTTAAGAAGCTTTTGTGGCCACAGGGAAAAAAGGGAACTGGGGGGCCCCCACATCAGCCGTTCCGAGGTCCCCAACCAGACTTAAGAGGGTAGTTTCATGTTGTACTCATCCAGGGGGAGGCTGTCTGGTCTAAGCAGACTGGTCCACGCTGGCTGCAGACAGGGGCCTGCTGGTGAGGGTGAGAGTGGCCACACTGTGAGCTATCGCCAGCACCGCCCCTGAACATTTATTCACTGAGTTCCTCTCCCCTTCTCCCCCGCCACCACTCGACTGCCCAGCCTCCCACTCCGTCCCTCCCCTCCTCCTTGTCCTCCACACTCTCTTGAAGCTGTCCGTCACAAAGCAGTAAACCACTGGATCCAGGCAGCTGTTGAGGCTGCTCAGGGTCACCGTGATGTGATAGGCCAGCACGTGCCCCGCCTCCTGGCCCAGCCACTCCTCACCGACCTTGACCCGGAAGTAAACCAGCACCTGGCGCACGTGGAAGGGCGTGAAGCACACGGTGAAGACCACAAGGACGGCAGCCAAAAGCCTGACGGCACGGGCCCTCCTCGCCCTGCTCTGCTGCGGCATCAGGCCATGGCTGGAGGTGAGGAAACAGGCGACGCGCAGGGTGAAGACCACCACAGCCAGGAGGGGGAGGGCGAACTCCAGGATGGTGAGGTAGAAGAGGGCGGGGAGGAGCACGCAGGAGGAGCTGAACCCCAACGCTGTGGTCTGGAGAGAGGAGGAGAGATGACCAGGTATCAAGTTTAAAAGTGTTTCTTCGGCTTTTCTTGTTGGCCGACCCTGTATATGCATATATTTAAAACATTTTATCCCTATCTGCTTTCAGACATGACCACAGGAGAACGTCAACAGAATTGTGTCCGGACTCCTCCAGGGGTCCCTTTCACACCTGAATAATGCAGCCGGAGGTTCTTTGCTCAGATACTCCGGAGCGTTCAGAGGAGGGGTGTTGCAGGAGATATTTGTTAGTTTTTTTTTGGGGGGGGGGTCAGGAGCTTTTAAGGAGTTCAGTGCATGTCTGAAAGCAGCTTCAGTGTGTTGTGCTTGTCATCACCTGAAAAGAGTAGGTGACCACCACTGCTATGAGCCACACTGCGGCGCTGACACACCTGGCTGCCCCTGCGGTCCTCCATCGATGGAGGGTGCCGGACGCGTGGACGACTGCGAGGTATCGATCTATACAGATGCTGAGAAAACGAAGGGAGTGCAGTCATAGGGAAAAGAAGAAGGTACAAATGTTTTAAACGCTGAGTAATGTCGTGACCCACCCACCTGGTCAGGAACAGGATGCTGCAGTACATGTTGACAAAGTAGCTGAAGGTGTGGACGTAGGAGCAAGCCACGCAGCTCCCTCCGCTGTGATACAGGGCTATGCGAGCGGGCAGTGACAGCGCCACCAGCAGGTCGGCTACAGCCAAGTTCATGGTGTAAACCACAGAGGCGGAGGAGTGGGTTGAGACCCCGCAGAAGACGTAGAGAGCCAAAGAGTTGAGCACAACACCGACCACCAGCATGAGACAGTTACACACCTGCAGCAGAGGGATGGACTCTCAGTTTTTTAAATGGTAAAGCACCTTGTAACTGTGTTTTGAAATAAGGTGCAATTTAGATAGAGTTTAATATTATATTATATTACTATTATTAAAACTACGCGCTCTGTGTATTTTAATCTTTCTTATTTTCCTGAGTAACTACTGAAAAATGGCTGAATAAATATAATATTTGTGACAACTTAAAAAATATTTAAGTACTCTAGAAGGACTAAACTGTTTTTTGTAGACAAGCAATATTTTGATATTTGACATGAAACTCCAAAACCAATCCTAATCAATTTTCCAAAAAGGTTTCTGCAGAAACATTGTGGTGTTGTTGTATCTCACCATAAGAGCGACCCACAGGGCGTAGAAGTCTCGGTACAGCTGCACATCCAGGTGGGCTAGCCTGTGCAAGTGTGGCGCCCCCCACTGCTGCTTCCAGGCACTGCAGTTAGTCAGGTCTGGAGTCAGGAGGGGCTCGCTGGAGCTGATGTTGTCAGGAGGACTGTCCATTGGTTAAAGAGGATGGATGAATGTTGTGGTTCTGAGAAATAAAAAGAGAAATATGCATCATCAATGACATTTTTTATCTAGTGCAAAACTGTTTTAGAGCAAAAGATTGTTTCACACAGAAATAGACGAGATAAGGTCATGACAAACTGTGACATGAAAAGTAAAAGTAGGCTTCTGTCCTCGGAAGTTAAATTAAGTGGAACTGCAGAAATTTAGATGATTCATAATGTTGGCTGGAGAAACACGGCCCAAGCTTTACTCTGGAGTCAGCCGTGGATATTCAATTATAAATACACTTAAATTGCTGATATCCAAAGAGATGGGGGAGCTCAGCTCTGTTCAGTGCTCTGAGCTAAAGCAGAAGACACACACACACACACACACACACACACACACAAAACCAAAAGATTAAAAACTCCTCTGGATTAAAAGTGCTCAACATGGACAGAAGTTAATCTGGAGACTCATCTTATAAACAAAATCTTGTCGTACTGCAGCTACGACTGAATCCATCTTCACATGCTCTGAAAGGATGTGACAGTGTAAGCTGAGTACACGACCTCGTCTGTAACTTTAAACACAGCGTTTGTGATTAATATGAACCATATCAGCGTTTGATGCTATTTAACACGTCAATGATCCATTTTGTGTCAAAAACAAGACGTATATTCCTCTTGTATGAATTTTATATATGTGCCATGTCCTGTTTAGATGAAGGGAGCCTTTAAAATCCTCAAACTTTTGAGCGCGACACTTGAGTGAAATCCTTTTTCTCCCTGAAAGCCACATTTATTTCACCTGAATCATTGTAAAAAATGACTTGTCAGAATCACTGGAAAAAGCCCAAAATGTCTGTTCTTTCCTTATAAATACCAAAGACAGATGACTTCCTACTTGAGAAACCGTCCTGCAGAGGAAGATGTTTTCCACTCTTCATCATCGTTGGATAAAACGTGACCAAGAGCCTGAATTAAAGACAGAAATATACCGGCACACTGCAAACTTACCATTTATTCTGTCGTTAAAATCGTGTAAGGAAATAAACAAAAAGCAGTGTATAAGTCTTGTTTTGTCTTTTATTCATTTATTCATTATTATTATTCTTTCTTTATTATTATCATGCTACAGACCTGCTCTGTGTTCCACAGTCTAAAACCAGGTAGTTTAATATGGTAACTAAGGCAGAGTGATGTTCAGTGTGAGACCAAGTTCATGATAATATGATCTAAGCTTGCCTGAAACTATTTACAGAGAAAACAGGTGAAACCAGGAATCTAAAATGTCTGAAACATACCTGGTGAAGACGAGGGGACGGTGAAAAACATCCACACTGGATGTCTTCAAGCTTTGATGTTTATGTCCAGATATTAAAGTTTGAGGAGTTTCCCGCTTGTTTCTTCTTCTCTTCCCGTGTCTTTGGTCTGTGTCGGTCAACAGACGGACACAGGACAGCGAGGACAGATTTAGGAAGTGAACCAATCAGGGAAAAGATCATTTCTCCAGCAGAGTAAAGCAGCTGAACCTCCTCCTCTTTATCCTCATGTCACATGTGTAGAAAATAATTGATCTTCCTTTTTTTTCTATTTGTCATCTCCAACTCTCTTCTTTCTTCCTTTCACTTTAACCCAATTTCCATTCTCGTTCTGGTCATCTGTGCTTACTGCTGAGTTGTTTGATATCTGAAACAGTGATTGGGAACAGATAAGAGGAAGATTGAGGAAAGGAAACAGAAAAACTTAGCATATTCCTTACAAAACAAGATTTCTGGCACAATTGCATTGATGACAGAGAAAAATGATTTGTTTTTCCTGTCAGAGCAGCTGAATAAACTTAAGAACATAAGATAGTGTTAGAAACAAAACAGGGGAAAAAGCAAATCAACATGTCTGAGGATTGGACACATCCACTGGATGCAGCAGCTGATTGGATTGGGAGTGAAGAGTTGTTACTGGAAAGCAAAATGCAGAAAACAAATACTGAGACACAGAAACAAGGGACTTTTTTATTTAAGTGTTGGTTTAAGAAAGTTTATTTAAAGCTGTCTCTGGGGTGGTCCAACACTGAAACCTTACATATGTTTCTGTGTAAGTACCTGACCCAGTCAGTGAAGAAGAGTGTGGTGGGGGGGTATAAAAGTGAGAAAGAGTCAAAGCAGTTTAAACAGTTTCTTTAGATGTTTCTCCTGCAGCTGCCGGCCAGAGAAAAGAGAAAGAAGGAGAACGCATAGAAAAAAAGATGGAGAGGAAAATGCAGACATTCATTTGACCACAGATATAAGGTGGAGAGAAGCAGCACCTCATAAAACACAGTAACGTAAACAGCTGGAGAGGTGGTCGCCACTCTGCACTCCGGCTACATTTGTGAGTTTGCGTTTGTGTACAATACCTGTACATGTTAATGTGTCAAACAATTCAAGTAATAGGCTTGTAGACTTTTGATTTATTCCCTCCCTCTGTTTGCGATACCGGTGCTGAAGTGGCTGGTGAATGTTTGATCGACTGTTTCTCAGCTTGTTCAAATATTTGAAACAACTGTCAGACCTTTCCTGGCCCGGCTTGTTGAAAGTGCTGCAGACAGAGAGGAAGGATGTCCTTGACACTTTAGTGAGGTTTACAGGGTGAAGTGCAGACATGTAGTCGTGTGTGGGTCTATTTCCAGAGACTGGCTGTCATTGCATTGTGGGAATTAAACTTTTGGGGGGAGTTATCAAGTAGCTTTACGAGAATGTTTTAGAGTCTGGATATTTGGGCCTCTGCTCAATCAGTTTTGATTTTTTTTAAAAGTATTGTAATGTAAAGTGACCATAATATAAGTAATATTGCAAAAGCATCTTCACTATATAAATAGAAATAAACAAAATTGCAGTGGTGGGGGCTATCTATCTATCTATCTATCTATCTATCTATCTATCTATCTATCTATCTATCTATCTGTCTATCTATCTATCTATCTATCTGTCTTTCTTTCTATCTATCTATCTATCTATCTATCTA